TGTCCTGAGACTGCCTGCTGCTTGGAAGCCCAGGGAAGTCCTGTGTGTTCTCCAGCCAAGCCCAAGTTCCTCTGCAGACCTGTGCATGATGGCACATCCAGATGATTCCAGCCCCCTGCTGTGAATTTAATCCCACTCCATAAGACTTCTCTGCAGTCCCCAGACATCAACAAGCACCAGGAAGCTCTCTGTTCTGTGTCCTGCCTGAATTCTTGTCCCTGTGAAGCATTAGCAAATTGAAATGTTTGTTTCCTACCAGCATTAGGAGGAATTAGTTCTTTTTATTAGAAAGAAATCACAGTAAAGACATCAGGAATAGCACACTTGCAGGACGTTCACAAGGCACAGAAGAATGCACACTGCCATCTGGACTTGTCTTTTCCGCTTCTGCAGCCTGCCAGCTTCTGCCTCTGGAAGTAACAACTGTTAAATTTCTGCACATCTTTCCAGATTTATTAATTGAACAATCATATAGCACTGACACCATGACAAAGCTTTGTAAAAGGGCTTTGGCTACCAGGGTAAAAGACTCATTTATTTTCATTTACTGTGAACACTTAGGTGGCACCAGGAAGGAAAGCCTTATGCTCATTCCTTTTCATTCTTCGTAACATATTATGTTTTTTAAAATGTTTTTTCCAGAGGCTGGGCGCAGTGGCTCACACCTGTAATTCCAACACTTTGGGAGGCCGAGGTGGGTGGATCATGAGGTCGGGAGATCGAGACCATCCTGGCTAACACGGTGAAACCCCGTCTCTACTAAAAACACAAAAAAATTAGCCGGGCATGGTGGCGGGCGCCTGTAGTCCCAGCTACTCAGGAGGCTGAGGCAGGAGAATGGCGTGAACCCGAGAGGCAGAGCTTGCAGTGAGCCAAGATCGTGCCAATGCACTCCAGCCTGGGCAGAGATATAAATCTGTGGTCTAGTATTTTTAAATTACGTTTTCTCTCTCTCTCTCTCTCTCTCATATGTGTGTATATTTATATGTACACACCTGCACAATTTTCTATTCAGTTGTTGAGAATTAAAATTCTCCATTTATACAGGTAATATGTATTCCTTTCCGAATACCTTCAATTCCTTCCCAAACACCCCTTCAATTAGATAATCCCTGAAAAAAATTGCAACATCTATATTAATGCAGTTTTTATACCTCATCAATGACCCATTTGATGTAATAGTTCTTAAAACGTGTGATGAATCCACAGTGATGGAAATTTGTACTGAATCATTTCATATCTTTTTTATTACTATGAATTATATTCTTAGAGATTGACTTTAAAATTGAACTTACACTAATGCATTTAAATTTAATTTGGAACTAGTTTAGAATTGTTGAAGCTAGGACTCTCTGGTGACTTGGGAATAGTAGAATTGGGTGGGGATGGCATTTTACATCCAGCCTGGAATCTCCCTTTATTCTCACTGTATTAGCTTTTCTTATCTTTACTCTGAAATTTTCACTATCAAATATAGTAGAGAGGCAGATCTTTTTCCTCCTTTAATGTTTGTTTCATACATACAGAATAATACTGTGTGTCTGGGATTCAGTTTTTGAAATGAAACATGGAGTCTAAGTGACCCCTTGTCGATGTGACCATGGACTGGTCTAGATCACAGCTATTGTGACACGTGCGCTTGTGAAAATTCTACTGTGACCTGTCGCTGAGGTGACCTGATGATATAGGTCTTGCCTTTCATTTTAGCTGCCATTCTGGCAACTAAGCGTTGGCAGGAAACGCAGTTTAGTTGTGTCCGAGGACTCACCATGGGAAACGTTTGTAGTTGCTGCCTCAATGGTATGTATGTTCATTTCTATCTTCTGACTGCAGTTTCTTCAGGTGGGCCAGTTTTCCTGTATGTTAAATGTCATTCTGATTTTTTTTTATTTCCCCAACTCCCATTTGTCTACAGATTTATAAATATGTTTTAGAGTTTTATTACTCAATTTGTATTTTTTATTCTTCTATCAAGATTTTTGCCTCAAATATTTTCCTCTAGAAAAATACACTGTTTCCAATGCCATTTTTTTTTTTTTTTTTTTGACAGAGTCTTGCTCTGTTGCCTAGGCTGGAGTGCAGTGGCATGATCTCAGCTCACAGCAACCTCCACCTCCCGGGTTTAAGCAATTCTCCTGCTTCAGTCTCCAGAGTAGCTGGGATTACAGGCATCCGCCACCACGCCTGGCTAATTTTTGTATTTTTAGTACAGACAGAGTTTCACCATGTTGGCAAGTTAGGTCTTGAA